AAATCATAAAAGCATTCTAGTTGTTGACAACATTACATACATTTGTAGAATGTTCATTTGTAAAATGGATTAATGACATTTTTGAAGAAACACTTACGCTTATTATTATGCATTCACCGTATTAGATTGATGACGTTCACCGTATTAGATTGATGACAACAAACACATAAAAAAGATTAGAATTCCATTTTTTTAATAGAATTATTCTTTGGAAATTCATTGAACATTTATCAAAAAGAAAAAAATAAAATAAAAATCCATAATTCAATCTGACAATTCATCGAAGACTTCCCTAAATAACAAAGAACAAGTTTTGCTAGGGATTAATCCATCAAATACATATTAATAAAACGTACATGTAGAGATTAGGTCTTCCTTGCATATGTTGTATATATTTCTAAATAAATATTAGCGATGTCATACATCTGCATAGTCTCAAAAATCATAAAAGCATTCAAGTTATTGACAACATTACATACATTTGTAGAATGTTCATTTGTAAAATGGATTAATGACATTTTTGAAGAAACACTTACGCTTATTATTATGCATTCACGGTATTAGATTGATGACGTTCACCGTATTAGATTGATGACAGCAAACACATAAAAAAGATTAGAATTCCATTTTTTTAATAGAATTATTCTTTGGAAATTCATTGAACATTTATCAAAATGACAAAAAATAAAATAAAAATCCATAATTCAATCTGACAATTCATCGAAGACTTCCCTAAATAACAAAGAACAAGTTTTGCTACGGATTAATCCATCAAATACATATTAATACAACGTACATGTAAAGAGTAGGTCTTCCTTGCATATGTTATATATATTTCTAAATAAATATTAGAGATGTCATACATTGGCATAGTCCCAAAAATCATAAGAGCATTCTAATTATTGACAATATTACATGCCTTTGTAGAATGTTCATTTGTAAAATGGATTAATGACAATACTGAAGAAACACTTACGCTATTATTATGCTTTCACCGTATTAGATTGATGACGTTCACCGTATTTGATTGATGACAACAAATACGTAAAAAAGATTAGAATTCCATTTTTGAAATAGAATTATTCTTTGGAAATTCATTGAAGATTTATCAAAATGATAAAAAATTAAATAAAAATCCATAATTCAATCTGACAATTCATCGAAGACTTCCCTAAATAACAAAGAACAAGTTTTGCTAGGGATTAATCCATCAAATACATATTAATAAAACGTACATGTAGAGATTAGGTCTTCCTTGCATATGTTGTATATATTTCTAAATAAATATTAGCGATCTCATACATAGGCATAGTTTCAAAAATCATAAAAGCATTCTAGTTGTTGACAACATTACATACATTTGTAGAATGTTCATTTGTAAAATGGATTAATGACATTTTTGAAGAAACACTTACGCTTATTAGTATGCGTTCACCGTATTAGATTGATGACGTTCACCGTATTAGATTGATGACAGCAAACACATAAAAAAGATTAGAATTCCATTTTTTTAATAGAATTATTCTTTGGAAATTCATTGAACATTTATCAAAATGACAAAAAATAAAATAAAAATCCATAATTCAATCTGACAATTCATCGAAGACTTCCCTAAATAACAAAGAACAAGTTTTGCTACGGATTAATCCATCAAATACATATTAATACAACGTACATGTAAAGAGTAGGTCTTCCTTGCATATGTTATATATATTTCTAAATAAATATTAGCGATGTCATACATTGGCATAGTCCCAAAAATCATAAAAGCATTCTAATTATTGACAATATTATATGCCTTTGTAGAATGTTCATTTGTAAAATGGATTAATGACATTACTGAAGAAACACTTACGCTATTATTATGCTTTCACCGTATTAGATTGATGACGTTCACCGTATTTGATTGATGACAGCAAATACGTAAAAAAGATTAGAATTCCATTTTTTAAATAGAATTATTCTTTGCAAATTCATTGAAGATTTATCAAAATGATAAAAAATTAAATAAAAATCCAGAATTCAATGTGACAATTCATCGAAGACTTCCCTAAATAACAAAGAACAAGTTTTGCTAGGGATTAATCCATCAAATACATATTAATACAACATACATGTAAATAGTAGGTCTTCCTTGCATATGTTGTATATATTTCTAAACAAATATTAGCGATGCCATACATCGGCATAGTCTTAAAAATCATAAAGGCATTCTAGTTATTGACAATATTACATACATTTGTAGAATGTTCATTTGTAAAATGGATTAATGACATTTTTGAAGAAACACTTACACTTATTATTATGCGTTCACCGTATTAGATTGAAGACAGCAAACACATAAAAAAGGTTAGAATTCCTTTTTTTTAATAGAATTATTCTTTGGAAATTCATTGAAGATTTATCAAAATGACAAAAAATAAAATAAAAATCCTTAATTCAAAATATGACAATTCATCGAAGACTTCCCTAAATAATAAAGAACAAGTTTTGCTAGGGATTAATCCATCAAATACATATTAATACAACGTACATGTAAAGAGTAGGTCTTCCTTGCATATGTTGTATATATTTCTAAATAAATATTAGCGATGCCATACATCGGCATAGTCTCAAAAATCATAAAAGCATTCTAATTATTGACAACATTACATACATTTGTAGAATGTTCATTTGTAAAATGGATTAATGACATTTTTGAAGAAACACTTACGCTTATTATTATGCGTTCACCGTATTAGATTGATGACATCAAACACATAAAAAAGATTAGAATTCCATTTTTTTAATAGAATTATTCTTTGGAAATTTATTGAAGATTTATCAAAATGACAAAAAATAAAATAAAAATCCATAATTCAATCTGACAATTCATCGAAGACGTCCCTAAATAACAAAGAACATGTTTTGCTAGGTATTAATCCATCAAATACATATTAATAAAACGTACATGTAAAGTGTAGGTCTTCCTTGCATATGTTGTATATATTTCTACATAAATATTAGCGATGTCATACATCGGCATAGTCTCAAAAATCATAAAAGCATTCTAGTTATTGACAACATTACATGCATTTGTAGAATGTTCATTTGTAAAATTGATTAATGAGATTACTGAAGAAACACTTACGCTTATTATTATGCGTTCACCGTATTACATTTTTGAAGAAACACAACTGAAGGTATTAGTGATGTTCTGATTATAAGGAAAGATGACAAGAGGTCAGCATAAGGCATCTGGTTAAAAAGAACTACAAGATGTCGATTGAAGACAAGATGATGAGAGTTCTCGACTCAGGTGGTAGGTTAATTTTGAAGGCACCAATATCTTAGAATAGAACCTTCAAGATTGAACTTAATGTGATGTAGCATAAGTGCCTTGCAAATGCAGCCAATAGAGATGAATGGGTATGGCATTATAGACTTGGTCATCTCATTTTCAAAGACGTCAGAGATTTGAAGAGAAGAAATATGGTTTCAGGATTACCAGAAATCGATATTCCAAGTGAAGTGTGTGAAGATTGTGTTCATGCGAAGCAGCACAAGAACAACTTTAACAAGGATGTAGGAAGCAACTTGAAGGCAATTCTAGAAGTCATATTCTCTGATGTATGTGGTCCTATCCAGGTGGATTTGATTGGAGGTAACATATACTGTCACGTTCATAGATAATTTCAGTCAAAATTTATGGACTTACATGATCAAGAAGAAAAATGAAGTGATCGAGGTATTTTTCAAATTAAAATCTATGGTCGAAAGACAAAGCGGTCGAAAGCTAAACATTCTGAGGACTGATGGTTGTGAAGAGTATGTATTGAAAGATTTCGATGCATTATATGAGAAAGAAGGAATTATGCATGAGTTGGTGCCACCCTACACTCCACAGCAAAAAGGAAGAATAAAACCATCATGAATATGTTAAGTATGTTGAAAGGCAAGCATCTACCAAAAGAATTATAGGGAGAAGCTGTGTTGACTGTAACATACATCTTGAACAGAAGTCCAGCAAGAAGGAATTATGCCAGAATAATGTTGGTCTGGTGTTAAGCGTAACCTAAGTCATTTGTGTCGAAATTAGCCTAGTGCATGTGTGTGTGTGGAGTTATGTTAGATGTCGAAGTGTCGAAGCAAATTGCTTGACACGAGATTTCGACTTAGACCAAAATAGAAATTTTGACCTTTTGTAATTTTGGGCTTTATCTTAGGGAGCAAGATAGTTCAATTATAAATAGAGGGAATAACTCCTATTTTGAGTAAGAAGAATAGAAAATAATATTGTAACACACAACAGAAAGTGTAGTTGTACAATTGAATAATATTTTTTATCGGTTTAAGAGCAGAGAGTTACTCTGCTGAAACCATTCTTCTCTTCCTTTATTTTGTTAAACCCTAATCTTCTTTCTTATTCAGTTTTCTTTCTTTCTTCTTCCATTAATAATTGATGCGCAAAATCATTCTTTCAACCAATGTGTGGTTGATTCACTCAAGTGAAGAGTGAATAATAAGAAATTTAGATCAGATTGATTGAATCTTATTTATCAAGATTAATTCGAAATTTTTAAAATTTTAGGTTAATTCTAACATGAATGAGATTGAAATGATAATTGTTTAACTTGAATGTTTAACTTTTATCATTAAAAAGAAACTCAAATTGAGTGTTTAACTTGTTATTTGAGGTGCATATTGAGTAAATAGTTGTTCATTTTGTGTTAAGACTAAATATTTGATGAAATAGTTTTTGTTATCTAATTTTCATAATTCAAGTTTGAAACTCCAAACTAATCTGATTTTTTCTTCAACGAATAAAAAAAATTAATAATAATATTTTTCATCTTTCATAAAACAAGTAGGTCTCTTAGTTTTTGTACTAATGGATATTTATAGAGATTTTGTTACGTCTAAAACTCCTCACAAAATAAATGTTAAGCATTGAATAAAACAAGAATCTCTATAAATAGCTAGCACCATAACACTCATCATTTCCACACTCACTCACACAAATGACTAACTCAATGTTTATCAATGTTACTTCCTTGGCTATGATATGCTTGGTTTTGGGTATTCCCTTAGCCAATGCTGCCCAAACATGTGATGAAATAAAAACCTCCCTATCACCATGCCTTGGGTACCTTAGGCACCAAGAACCAACTGTCCCTGTAATATGTTGCAATGGTGTTAGAACTGTTACTGACCAGGCCAAAACCGTTCCTGAACGTAAAGATGGTTGTGAGTGCATAAAATCGTCTTTAACCAACATACCTGGACTCGATGTTGGTGCCGCTCAGGGTGTCCTTAACAACTGTGGTGTCAAACCGTCTTTTCCAATTGGTGCCGACGTCGACTGTAGCAAGTACATCTCTATAAATTAACACTCTTCTTAATTTCACTACTTTTTTTTTTATCTTTGTTTCTTGAAAAACCTAATATATACTTTATTTTACTCATTGCAGGATAACAGTTGAGCTCTGAGCTTGCATTGGATGAATAAGCAATAAACTTGATTTTGTAATAAGAGGATAGAATAAAGATGTTTTGATTTCTCGAATTGTAACTGAATTCCTACTAGGGATCACTATATATGAGTTTACTTAATAATTGAAATAAAATCTTCTCAGTTTAGTCTCAAAATATACGTTAAGTAAGTGCTACTTGTGTTGTATGTTATGATTTAAATTAGCGTTGTTTAAATAAAAATTATATGTTTAATGTGTAAGGTAAAAATTATAGAAAAAAAATATTTAAATTTCCAAATGGCGCTGTTATTTTACTTAATGGCGCCACTGTTTTATAATTACTCTGTCTTTGAAATTTGGCATCTTAACAATAGTGTTGTTCCAGCTTATAGAATGTCGCTAATTCTTTGACAAAATGTTTGAATAGCATCGTTATGCTTTTGTAGTGCTGTTCTGATCATTTTCATTTAGATAACGCCACTATGAAATATATGCATGCTAGTCTTGAGTGTCTTTTGCAATTGTTTTATGTTATCTTTCTGTAATTGATGTGTTAGTCCTCTCTTTGATTCCTCATCGTAATTTTCATAAGAAAATATTATGAAATTAGATTTTTGAGAAATATAAAATTTTACCTACTTCGATGATAATTTTTATAAAGACACATATCATATACTTTTGTGTTCCCGTTAATTCTCATTTTAATTTTCATACCTTAGGATAGATAAGTCAAAAGACTTTATTCATGCATCATATCTATTCAACTTTTTTGTCGCTATTCTCACAAATTCACTTAAATGAAAAAATATTCACTGAATTTATAAGTATATATCATTTAGCCACATGCTTGAACAATATTTAAATTGTTTCTGTAATCATTGTCATACACACACTTTTAAGGTTTTAAGAGTGAAATAATTTAGGCAAAGTGAGCTAATTCTTGGAGTTACACACTAAATTCCTCAATTCGTCTATTTTGACTTTTCGTTTTCACATCCGCTCTTTAAGAGAATTATCTTAAATAATCTAAGACTTACTTTTATTTTGGTTTCTCATCCGTATTATTTTCTTCTGACTTCTTTGAGCAAGTTACTTCAAACACAAGAAGGAGATGAATTATTTTTAAAATATTTAAGAAAAATATTGACTTTACTTAATTGACTTTAAGAAAAGAGATGAAATCGATATTATTTCTAGAATAATAAATAAATAAAAATAAAAGAGATAAGGAAAAGGTAATAACACCCTACAACTTTTACTAGTTCACCTTTAAATCATGTGACCTACTTTAGACCCAAAATTTTTCACTTGAGAGTTCTATTAATAATAAAGCTTTTATAACACGATCAAATTCACAAACTTCTTATACCAAGCTTTTTTGCACGGTCTTCTTAAAAACATTATAGTTATATCACAAATACAAAATAAAAGTGTTATCTTGATTTATAATTATAGCTTAATATGATTTAATCGACAACTACATAGACACAACTCTCAATAAATCTTGTGCATGGTCATACGAAATAGTTATAAGTTAGATTAAGACCCGCACGATGTGTGTGTTAAGATGAGTTATTTAAGTAGTATTTAATTAGATTAATTTTAGTTTTTTTAGTATAAAATTAAAATTAAAATTGAAAACGTGAAATAAGTTATAAAATTCTAGTACTTATTTTATGAAACACTTTTCCTTTTTCCAACATCTCTGAGTAGTTTTCTCCCTTACTCATTCTCTTTATTATATCCATACCATATGCACCTCTTCTTTCTATTGAGGCTATGATACCACACTGTCCGGGAGCCTCATATATTATGAATCCAGTCATAACTGTATCATTAACAAATAGTCAACCATATGCATAACACAGACTAACAATTCAAACTGGCATTCCATATAAGCGAGGACCTTAGTATGGATTGGTGTTCAGATGTTTTTTGATACACAAGATCCTCATTTTGAGGCAAGTGTATAATATACTTGCATCTATGGAGAAATTATGATATGAATATAATAACTAAAGCTTTTAGGGAGAAAAGAAAGATTTTTAGAACATGTTTTTTCTTAAGAAAACAGGAAGATTTATTTGTGATTACTTGTGAGAAATATGTTACAAGAATTCTCCTTTTAAAGGCAAGGAGGTACGTATAAGAAAAAATAATACTATTTACAAGCATGGCAATTTTAATACTATATGAATGCCATTTTTTCAAAAGTCTGACACACTTATCACTAATGAATACATTATTGTAGTAATATTCTATAAAAAGATGAAAGTCATTTTTCATAAACATGTCTGTGACATATAAGGAAAATTTTCTCAATTAGTCTTTGAAGATGGGTCATGAGATGGGGACATATTCTGATTGGATAAGTTTTCTTCAAAAAAGTAATCTCCAAAACGAGATGGCTCATGTTGCCATATATCATTCATCATGTAAGTCACATCCATTAATTTTCTATTAGCTTTTTCCAGTTTTCCTTTTGAGAATTTAGCTTCCATTGGAGAATATGGTTTCTGTTGTGTGGTTTGAGTTGAGCTTTCTCCAACTTATGATCTTCTGAACTTTTTCATGACTTATACAAGTTGTACTATCATTGATGTTATTTGGATTATGGAGATTGATGAAGTTAAAATACTTCATTAATTCATTTGTGATTTTTAGACTAGGAGGATAACCATCAATGGTTTTCCATTGATGAACATGACTCTTACAATCAAGTAGCTTAGTTGCAGGATCTATCTGATAGGGCCTGGGTAGAACGAAAACATTATTGAGTTTTCTGATAGATTCTAAGGCTATTATTCGCTCTTTGACCTCGTTTATGACTGGTTTTAATTGATTTTCACACCATTGTAATGGAGAGTACCATTCAAGAATTGTTCAAATAAAGGACTTGTGGTTCTAAGGATCAATTATGTGTTTATACAGGGCTTCAATGGGAATTAGAACAGACATAAAATAAAAACTAGTAGCACACCAGATATACCATAAATGATCTTTGTGAATTTAACATTTGGGTTTATCAAAATTAGTATTAGAAAAGGTGTGTCTGGGAAATAAAGAGTATGATCTGGGAGTTTATTCCTTATGATTTTTGTCATATAATAAAAGAGATTGTTCCTAGAATACTGCTTGTGCTGGGACGATGAAGAGGAAACATTTATTCATGGAGGAATATTCTTAGTTTTGGATGCATGGGCTGGTAGTGGTTTGATCATAAGAACCAGAGGGAAAGTGTGCTTGGATGTGGTGATATGGATAGGTTTTTAGGTCGGGATAGTAGATCTGGGATCACATTTTGAGTTCTTTTGATATGTTTTATAGAGAAATCATATTTGGAAAACCAATATTTAATCCTAAGAGTTTGATAATCAAGCGACATATTAGTTTTGAATTCGAGGATTTTAGGAACGGGCATTAGCAATGCAGAATGTCATTTTATAATGATCCTCAAAGTCGATACCCAATTGCCAAAATTATGACTTAAAATCAAACTTGGAATAAATTTTGGCATCTTTGATGAAAACATTTAAGGTCGAGGCCTTTGGAATGGGAAATTTATCAATGTTGAGAAAATGATATAGAGGTTTGTAATCAATTACTAGCCTCTTTTATCCTCTAATTTTTTAAGATCTCTTTTCCACATAAAATGCTTGTAAGCCCATTCTGATTTGGTGGGTTCTATCAGACCTTATTTAAGCAGCTGGTTGCGTTCTTCCCTAGCTAATGTATAATATGATGGACTCATTCCTAGATGAGTGGCCTTGTTTGTATTAACATCTTCATTGAGCTTGAAAGGAAGTTGAACAAAAAAGTCTTTATTTTTCCATAGTGGTTTTGGATGGCAGGATTTTTCATGGCTGTCTGGACAGAGTTTGAGCAGGTTGACTTTATTTTTCATAGCCAACATGAATTTTAGAATGTTTATATAGTTTCAATATTCTAGAATAAGGTTTGAATTCCATTTTGAATTTGATTCATGTGGGGAGAATTTGAAGTCTATTTGGTGTTGAATAGGCATTCATTCCTACTTAAATATCTTTGTTTGGAAGATTACTGCTGATAATCCTAGTCCAAACTATACATTATGGGAGGTATCTAATTCCTCTATTCTCCTTGGTAATTTATTTTTTGTCCTGAAAACTTTTCCTTCTACTGCTAGAAATTATGCAGCATGAGTCACCCATGATTCTACTGGGAGAATGATAGGATTCATCATTTTAATTTGGGCCCTAGTGTCCATATAAGCTATAAGTTTTTTCAAGCGGGAAAACTTTTTTGCTAGGACATGAACTTCAACATAAGGGCTGAGTGGAGTAGGATGGGGACTTCCTATCTCTTTGAAGGAGTAAATAGGGAAATATTTGTCATATTCTGACTCGAAAAATGTTGCTTCATTAGACAAAGATTCTTGGAGGTCAAAAATTATTTCTTCATCAGTATATTTTTATCCAGAATACAAAGATTCTAAGTCACCTTCTAGAGTGTAAAGAGAGTTTATCAGCTTTGCGGCTTTGTGGGTATTATTAGGACATTCTTTAGAGAAATGCCCCCTTTTCCACAAATAAAGAATCTCTGATTTTCCCTTTTTTCCTTTGAAAGGTTTTCTTCTAAAGAACTTCATAGCCTTCTTTTTCTTTTCCTTGAAGGTCATATGAGGTTTGGTGTAGTTTTTATGACAATGTTTCTCTTTTGTGGCAGATCTACACCTTTTGTCTTTAAACTAAATCTCCAAGTATGGATTTTTACATGCCATGGTGAATTTTGACTTTTGTTTTATAACTTTTGAAAATTGATGATAAAAACTGCAAAGTTTTTCAAGTGCTTCTAACGTCACCTGGTAAATCTGCCCAAGACTAATCGAGTTAATATCCTTTTGAGCTGCGCCTAACATCCTATGAATTTATGGCTGGAGTTCTTGTGGTAAAAAGCATACATATGTATTATTTAGACTAGGTCCATTGTATCCATTGAGATCATAATACCTATGTTCCATCCTATGGCAGTGTTTGT